CTGCAGACGGAGGTCCTGCTGGAGGCTCCTCTTCCTCCTGTAGCCATCGTCCTGCCCAGATGTCTTCAGGGGGGTCCTCATCTACTAGCCTGCGACATCCGACCTCCAGCCCAACGAGGAATGGGACCTATCTTGAAGGAAACAGAAGTGGTAATATAACATCTTCCTTTTATCAGTGCATGTTGCTATGCAGGTGCCATGCTGGAGTCTTAACTCACTCTTGAATTCCCAGGAAAATTAGTGAGGGAGGTCCAGGTCAATATGCATCCAGACCATTCATGTTTCCATTTAGAAGGAGAAATAATAACCTACATAAACACAAAATCAATCTGTTAATCATTAAGTAAAAAAGTGAATGTTTTCTAATGCTGTTATTAATTATGTAAACATATGTATCATGTGTAATTGTGTGGCAATCACAACTGTTATTATCGACTTACAGATATAAATATTAATATATAAGGCATTCCTCCCAAAGACTGATACTGCCTCCAGGCAGGTACCTGTTATTTGTGTGACACAGCTGTGTATAACATATGATGCACAGCAAACCCAAATATTAGTGCCTACCTCAAAACATTTTAGTAAAAGCTTTTGCTTTCTAGCCGTGTGGTCCATCCTGCCTCTTTAATCATGAATCAAGCTGGATTTTGCTTTAAAAAGACTGCCCAGCAAAACATATAGTTTCAGAAATCATCCAGCTCAGTGCTCAAGGCTCTTTTATCCCTCAGGGAGCAAAGTCACAAGACGTTTATCTGCAAATTCAAGGGATGCCATGGGAACTACTGCATTTGATAACCCTTCTTCTTCCCTCTCTTTGTATTTTTGCCCAGTAACCCTGCTAGGATTTACGTTTGCAAGGTCGGTCACTCTGCTCATTAGCTATATTCCCTATTAGCCATGTTTTTTTTTCCTTCAGAAATGACCTGGATTCATCAAATGGGTTAGCTAATCCCTTGAGCTTCCGTTAACTTTGTCTTTGTTTGCATTTTCCAAGTTGTCCATTAGCAGGTCTTTATCAGTAGTGATTCCAACAGTGTCTTCACCCCTTACTAATTATCCAAACTTCATTTCTGCATTTTTCATCTTGAAGATAGATCTAACAAAGGAGTTGAGTGTCTCAGCCATTTTAAAGTCATTAATATCTTTCCCTTCCTCATGTATTAATGGAATCTACTGTCACTCTAGTGTTATTTTTTTAAAAAAAATCTTGATATATTGGCAAAAGCCTTGCTGGTTCCTCTAGCCTCTTTGTCTACCATTAGCTCATTACATTGCCTTTCTGCCCTTGCCTTTCTCCTGGAAACTGCAAGTGATTCTACATATGCTTGCTTGGTAGCCACTCCAGAGCTTTTTTCCAGTAGCTGCAGGTCTTTGCATAATTCCTTTACATCCCTCATCTCCCCAATATCTGTATTATTTCTTGTTCCTCAACTTTCACTATTTAATGTTTTAGAACACTATTATTCCAAAATATGTATTACCAGTATTTATCTCTGTATTTCTTTGTTTATCTAAGTTTGCCTTCTTAAATACTCAACATCTACCTCAAATCATCCTTGTCTTTGCTATTGTTTTTCCACCTTTGTTTCTCTGGCTTAGTCCTGTGTTACTCTATTACACAGACCACAGATAAGCATTTATTTCTCATCGTTAATTTTTCCTTACTTCCAGAGTCAACTTTACTCAAAGCAAAGTGGAGAGCATAGAAATGTACTACTGCAAATAAGTTGTAAAAGTTTTGTCACTAAGAACCAGGGGTCTCAGTTGGAGATGGAAAGCCCTTTCTTTCAGATCTCATCCAGTGCTTCTTGGGCTGGCATAATTAGGTGCTGGGAGGACAAGAGGTGTACTGTGCACAGGATTCATTTTCCCCTCTCTCCCCTCTTCCGTAATACCTCCTAGCACAACTGGGACCCTCTTGTCGAGCTTTTTATTTGGCAGCTGCGAGGAGCCAGGATTTAACAATGTGGTTACTTACTTGCTTTGAAAATCTTTATCGTTCTGCTTGAGATCAGGGGTTATCTCTTTGTAGTGCTAGAGAGGATCAGAGCAGCTCAGAGCAAAAGTCTGCCCAACCGAGCATCCTCTCTCCAGCATGAGGCAGCAGCGCACCCCCAGGAAAGAGGTAAGTGCGGAGATGGTGGTGCTTCCCTACTACCCTCTTCACCTTCAGAACTTTGTGGCTCAAGGACTTCCTGAACCAGAGGTGGTGGATTCATATTTAGGAAACCTTCACAGCTTTTTCTTCCCTGAATCACTCAGTGACTCATGGAATACATCACGCATTTTCAGCATCCACAAAATTCCTGTGCTTAAGAAAGTCTTGTATGAAGAAAAGCCTTGGCATGACACTTTGGAAACTATGTTCAAGGAACTGAAGTTTAAAATCAGAGTTGCTTAAGCCTTCTCAGCTGCATTTCTTTCCCTTCTTGCTTCTGACTCCGAATGCCACTGTTACCCAGCCTCGGCCAACGTCTTGTGAAAGCTCGGCATCATTCTGAGCAGGAAGCTAGCTTTCAGGAGACAGCTCCATCTCTCTTATCATGACTCCCCACCAAACCTGCAGTCTTTACACAATGAGAGCCTATAAGATAGCATGTCTTTTTTCCTGAATTGAACCGAAAGAAAAGTCAGAGCGTGACCATGCAGTAGGCTTTGCAGGTTCCTATATTGCTCTAGCTCAAAACATGTTAAAGCCCTTTGAGGAGCAAAGAAGTGATTGATTTTGAACCAGGCCCCCATGGCATATGTGCCTCTGAAGCAGTCACAAGTGACCTGAAGCAGCTGTGTGTAATACTTTGGGGTAACAGAACTCATCTCAAGACTACACAGTGTTTTTTATGTGACAAGCATTTGACACTTGCATAGACCAACTCCTCTGGGACCTCTGGGTCATTTGTCCAGCCAAACAGTAAAGGCTCCCTAAAATTGATGGGTATGCTGTGAATGTGATGAAAGTGGTTATGAATTTGTTGATATTACTTATTTATAATTATTAACAATTTATTAGTCCCAGTGTCATTCACTGTGGATTAGGATTTGCCATAGACATATATGCAAACCCAGAGATGGGTTTGCTGTCATGGTCTCTAAGTGGGGGAATAGCAATCCCCTGTGCTCTCCCAGTGCACATTTGTGCCACCACCACCCATCACATTTCCTTTGATCCGCTCAGCTGATTCTGGACACTCCAGCAGAGAGTCTCCTGCAGCCCATGTCAGGAGCTGCGTCCTCTGAGGTGAAGGAGACCCATTTGCTCTTGGACACGGACGGGCAGTTTTCAGTGCCTGTGATGGGCAACACAATGACATCCATGAAGTCAAATCGCCCACAGATTCATTCTGATAATCACTTCTGGAATTAAATAAACTGTCTTATTTCCAGTCACAACCTGGTTTCATCTCCTACCCCATTTGTGGTAGCGTGAGCTCTCTAACACTAGTATTCCCACTGCAGAGTCCTACAAAGCACAATCTGCTCCTCCTTAAAATTAGAGGCTGTGTTTATTCACGCCTATCATACTTTGACCCACCATGATGCTTCCACTTTTACTGGAAATCTCAGACTTTAAAAATACACATCTTTCTGCAACTGCCTTAGCACAGCCACACTAGAGTTTGATTATTGTCTTCATGAAATCTCTCTTGCAAAGGTCTTTGGAATCTGCGCTCTCACCATGATGCCTCTGTGTGTGTTTTTCCACTTACTAGGGATAATTTATATGCTGCTGAATCATAAGTGAGCAAAGATGAGTAAGTGGTACATGCCAATCTCTGTTCTAATCCTCCTCGGTTTGCATACTTACAAGGCAGGGATGGGCAGCACTCATTGAAAAGAGGAGGAATTTCTCTCTGAAACCTCAAACCAATCCTCTTTATTTATGGATAATTTTGAGAAATAGCTTGCCTTATTTATAGTGTTGCACAAATATCATGGAAAAAACCATAACCATAAAGCATATCCCAGTGCATAGCACAACACATCTTTCAAGCGGAATGGATGAGATTAAACCTCAAAGCTCTCATTAATGCGATCGGAAGCTTGATGCCTAATTCTCCGTGATTATGCTAAAAAATTCCAAACCAAAAAAATAATTTAAAAAATCTCATTTCAGAATGCCAGTTGGGCTGCTAACAGATAAACATGCACTTTCCTGTCATCATTTGCCAAACTGAAGCTCTTAAATCAGGGAAGGAATAGTCAAGGACATCATAAAAGTTTCCAAGCCTGCTTACGCAACAAACAAAGCCTTTATTCCAAGTATGAAGAATTGCATGTTCAACCACAATATAATAATTTTAACCTTGCCCTGTAGCTTGTTATTTTTATGCAGATTTTATTATCCAATATTAGCAGTTAATTATTATCACCCGAGGGCCTTTCTTAAAGAGGCAATCCTGCTTGTTAATACATTTATTTCCTGAAAACATGTGGGGGTGCAGGGTTTGAAGTTTCTCCTTTTCCAGAGTAATGCTACAAGCACCCTGCAGGGGCTGCATCCAGCACCTCCCCAAGGCACGGGCAAGGAAGGAGTGCTGGGTACCTCTTCTTCAGCAAACACAGCCTGCCTATTAATTTTTGAGGACATTTACAGCTTGAAAGTTGCAATGCTTTCAGCAAGCTGCCTTTTCCTTTCTTTTTTTTTTTTCTTTCCCAGCAAAAGGAGGGCAAGGCAAGAAAAGCCCAAATAAATATTTAACACCAGCCCATGGCTGCATCTCATGCAGCTGGATGCTGGGCTGCTCTTGCAGCAAGTGGAGGAGCACCGGTGATGCTGCAACCCCACATGGTGCGTGCCGTGCCAGGAGCTGAAGCAGCCACCACATTGGTGGGATGAGCACTCTACCCTACCACACCACGGGGCTGAGGCCACCAGCCAGCTGATGCACGGCACTTCCTGCAAGCGCTCGCTGGTGAGAATTGACCTGCTAAGCCCAACCTTCTTTCCAGAGCTCTCTGCTGATTGCGCTTGTCAAACCCCGTTGTGGCCATGAATATCCTGTAACTGTGTTCTGTCACACACCTGCTTTTATGATGCCTCTCCTCTTCTCCTGCTTGGTGTGCCCTAGAATTTTAGAAAAAGTGTCTTCTACAAAGCCTTCCTCTTGTCTTTGTTTATAGTGGGTGGTGGTTTGTTTTTACAGAAAATTCCCATTTCTCTGTGCCTTAGAGGGTCTGCTACTTTTGCTTAGTGTCACTTGATCTGTTGCTCCTTATTATCTGCTCCAGTGCAATCAGAGAGAACCTTTTAAAATTTCATTCCCACCCCCTTCCCCTGAGGCAAAGAAATCATTTAGGCCTGCAGCAATATTAAAGTTCATCTGTCACTCTCTTTCCTCTCTTATCTATCAATGACCGTACTCCCTCTGGCCTCTGTTTGTTTGCCAAGAACATATTTAGGGAGTCTGTTATTTATCTTTCCTTCTTTCGCAGGTTTATCTCCATTTTAGCATCAGATCTCTTTGTTGTGCCTCTGCAGCTGTTCAGCTGTGGCTTTCTCTCTCTCCATCCTTGTTCTCAGGAAGGTCCCAAGGCCAGAAATCGGGCCAGAGAAAAGCCTGCATGGGACCAAGCCAGGCTGCTTTCTTTGGCTACTGACCCAGTACCTCCAGCCATTTCTGCACATGCCGTGGTCTTCACTGGGATACCCAAGGACCTTCCCCTGCAGAGGAACCTCATCACTCTTTTTCTCTGACACTGCTTCAGGCAGGAGGGAGAAGTGCTTCCCTCTGATTACCTAAATTTCCATATCCTATTCCATTAATTTGACAAATTTTTGCCACCTGTCAAAAACAGGAAATTGGATTTGACCTAGATTACGATCTCTAAAAATAATTATTGGTCGCGAGCACTCCCATCTCTTTGTAATCTGAGTATTCATTATCATCTTGATTAATTCTGATGACAGGATGGCATAGGATACCCAGGAGAGATGAGACTTCCTCATTTATCTAACTCTTAGGTTAAGTGTGAATACCTTCAGATAAGAAAAAATGTATAGTACTTGCCCTGCTGCCATCAAACATTTCTGTGTTTAACATAATCTTTCAGCAAGGTGATGCTCCTGAAACAAACCCCATGTCTTTTTGTAGACTTGAAATGATTTATTTTCTTTTACAAATAGAGAGATTACACTTAAATGTGTAAACTATGATATTAAAAAGCCAGAGTAAATTAAAGAACAGAGTACATTTTAAAAGATGTGGAAAACCAGATTGCTTCCAGACCCACCAGCTACAAACTGTGTTCCAGATACAAATCTGCAAGCTGGTGGTATCTCAGCTTTACTAACAACATTTAATGGGACTCACAAGTGAAATAACACACCTTAATTAATGAAAAAAAGAAGGAGAATCCAGGATTTGACTCTAGGTAGGTAAATAAAGATGAAAAAATCTTTAAAGAGTTAGCATCTACATATAATCCCTGCTTTTAAATCCTATTGCACCTCAGGTAGTGATTTGAAAGGGTTATCTTCAATTGTTAGGACCTGGAGGAATTCCAGCCATGCAGTCTCTTTAGAAAGGTCATTTATATATTTGTCTTTAAAAAAATCAGATATATGCTATTGATTGCTATATTGTGAAGGAGTGAATAGAATTCCCCTGTCATTTCAACCTTTTCTTCTCATCCTGCTTCCTTTCGTTACAGATATTTCCAACGCCTGTGAAGGCTCCCAACCGTTCTCGGGTCATTCTGTTTCCCTTTGCCCTTTCCTGGCATTTCTGGAAGCAGTAGGTTGAAGGCAGGAGTTGCTGCATCAGAGGCAGCTCTCTTTGTGCCTTGTATGAATCCCAGGCTAAGTTCCCTGGGTTTTCCTTACGCTCATACAAATTCAAGGGAAAAATTGTGATCCTCAGTAGTGACACAGCATCTCCTCCCAATCACATTATGACAGCAGCACAGAAACTTCTGCAATACTTTGGGCATGGACAAACATTTCTTTTCCTCCTCTATTTCATGGCTTATTTGTGAAAACCTGGTTTTCTCCCTGACCTTTAGTTTGGGGTGCTGAGGTGTTGGCATTCGGACCATCAGCAGATCATGCAGGGCAGAAATACTGGCTCCTCTGCCTCCAAGACAAGTATCAATTCTCCCACTTGTCCCTGACAAACTTAATGTTACTGATGGTGCAGGGCTTGGCCAAGATTACCCTGTTCGTTTTGCACTCTTTGTCTTCATTGTCTCATGCCAAAGGCTCCAGATGGTGTCTGTACCGTCGTGTATTGCATTTATTCTGTGAGAGGAGCCCAGGGTCGCCTGAGTCCGTATGAACACCAATCCTCGCTGTCTAATTAAGAGGACCTGCGGCTATTCCTTGTCCTTTATATCCAGAACAGTGACTTAGCAAATGAGAGTGTAATTATCATGATATTTACATCACACTCCATTATGAAGCCCATCAACCATATTTGCACATTCATAGCACTGCTGCTTTCTGGAGCTCGTCCTTCATAACTGCAAAATATATCTCATTACATTATACCCTAAGATGAGCATGGCAGCAAAAAAAAAAAGACCAGTATGCACATAAAGCTGCTATTTGGCATATATGGGCAGAGCCTCAGCTAATATAAATCAGCACAGCTCTATTGAAGTCAATGGAATGACAATCTACATAAGCCACAAACCCAGCCCACTAGATTTGCTCACATGCAGTAAGATCGTGGTTTGAGTGAGACGTGAGCATTCCCATACATTTCATCTGTGTCTGTAAGCTCACTATGTCTCTGGGGAGCTCAGCCCTTCCCTCCTCAGTGGCGCTAATTGCCCTCTTGGCTAGTTGGTCTTCTCCAGGCTCCAGTTTAGGTATCTGTGGTCTCCCTCTATCTGCACTCTTCTGTTTCCTTTTTTATCTTTTGTAGTGTTTGCCTGCTTACAATTTGCACCCCTCGTTAAAAAACGGGCCCTAATAGAAAGAGATGAACAAGTCTAGGCAAGGACCATTTTATACAGCTTTGTGCTGTCACCTGCTAACGCCAAGTTTGCTTGGTGTGGATATAAACAAACCGAAACAGTTTTTCTGTAACCTAACATAATATAGTTCTTGTAATAGTTAAGCAGCGTAAGTGGAGGTGCAAATTATATTCATGTGGAGGCTGAGATTTATAATTCTGCAGAGACTAAGAATAAAAACATAAATGCACTTTCATTCCAATGTGCCTTTATTCACTTGATTTAAAGCTACAGCAAGGCGAAGTGACCTTAAATCATCCAGGGCTTATACCATTAAAAAGTCACATGTGCAGTGTTCATCTTCGTTGTAGCTTTCCAAATAGGCATTCATCAGAGACTATCAGCTCCATGAGAGCCTAAGACAAGAAGGATACAGACTAGAAACCTTTCTTTAAGCTCTGAGATATCTGAATGCAAAGAAAAAAACCTGCTTGCTAAATCCTGATTTTATCCTCCAGCCTTTGCACTCAGTGGCAAACTCCTTTGTTTAGTGCTGAAACGCTTTCCCTCCAGGTAGGAGGGTGGTGTCTTCTCGAGCCAAGATCCCCGCTGCTTTCAGATCAGACAGCAGGGGCAGCTCAGTTTAAGAGCTTGGCAGCTGGCACATTTTCCCTTCCCCAGCAGGAACCTGAGGATTTCACGTTTTTTTAGCGCAATTCACCAGCTGGGATCATGTCTCCTGATAAGCTGTCAGATCGGAAACTGCTCCAAGTCCCCTCACCTCCCCATCCCGCTATCTCAGGCTGATGCTGGCTCACACAGATTCAACGTCCAATGCCCTAGTAAGGCTGCCGTACCTCTGCACACTCACAAACCAAGGAAACCGCTGTGTGCCATTGTAATGTGTTCATTGTGGGCTTTTTTTTTGTACCAATAGCCTCAAGTCCTTCTCCAGAACAAGACACAGCTCGACCATCAAGCAAGAATCCTTTGACCTGGACAGTGGATGACGTGGTTTGGTTTGTGAAGGATGCAGACCCTCACTCTTTAGGTCCCCATGTGGAGCTCTTCAGAAAACATGTATGTAGAAGGCTGCCCTTACGGATTCTGGGTAATTTAAGCCAAGTTCATGGGATGTCCCAAGAGAGCCTGTAAACTTCATTACCACCAGCTGGACTAGCAGTAGATCCCTTCCAACTGAAATCTCTCCTCTCTCCTCTCCTCTCCTCTCCTCTCCTCTCCTTCCCTCTTTAGCCTTCAATAAGGAGACTCAAAAAATGCCTTTAGAAAATGTTCAGTATTTGTTCCCAACTATGCCAGCATAAATTGTTTCTATGCTAAGCCTAAGAGAAAGCACTGATGATCTGATGCTCATTTCATTGTCAAATTGGCACAAAAAAGTGTTGTCTCAATGACAATTTTTTCCCAGGGTACATACGATTCTTCTCTGAAGAGCATTTTTATGTGTCTCAATATATGTAGCAGGAGAAACTCAAAACAGCCAAGCTTTTAATCTTTTTCCCCTCAGTGTTATGTAACTACATAACCAAATTTAACAGTCCTGCTGACTCACTGGAGAATATGATACTTGCTTTTGCTAGGCAATCTCCAGTGGCGGAAATGATATTAGCCTTAATTACTGAAGGGGAAAACTGTAAACGCACATTTGATACAGAGTTTCTTGTTCTGCTGCTGCATATAGAGTTGGCACCAATGCATGTAATAGCACCTTCAGCCTCCTCCTCCATCTCTCCTTCATCAGTTTAGTCTGGATATAAAAATGGATTTTACCCTAAAAGCAACTTGCTTGTGTTCAGCCGGAGGTCATAGCTGCGGATATAAGTGTCTGGACCCAGGTCTAAATGAGAGGAAGTCTCCAGCCCTGACTCCTGAACAGCACCTCAGGTTGCGAAGCAAGAGAGAGGACTTGATCACCAGGTCCCACTCCTTGCCACTGTGCCAGCAGGGACAGGTGGGAAGGTGGGGATGCAGACAAGAGCTGAGGGAGACAACTGATGGACTACTAGCTACACCCTGGATGTAGGGTTTCCAAAAACTGCTGAAGAGCAGACAAAAATGAAGATGAACACAGACCCTGGTGCCTGCTCACCCTGGGTGGGTATTGAGGCCATTTGCCATTCTGAAGACAGGCTGGTGGGATGAGAACAGAGTAGGCACAGTGGTGCTAGAACCACATCTGCAATTACAGGTCAGATGACAGCCTATTTCTCCTGTCTTCTGCAGAGAAGTCAGATCTGCCTTAGAAGCTGCTAATGAAAATATGGCCTACATCGGCCATGTGAGTAAGCAGGCAGATAAACAAGCCACCCTCATATTTAAAGGAACTTGCCTTAGCGTAGGTTTTTTGAGTCTATCAGGAGTTGTGTATCAAGAGAAAGATCTTCATGTGAGAGAGAGAAAATTGCCAAAGTCTGAGGCATACAGGTACATCACAAAGAAAAGAAATGTTTAGAGTTCATCCTGTAAATATGGGGAGTGCAAGAGCACTGATTTTGTCTAGTTTTCTTTTGTAGCAAGGGACGGCACAGTGTGCTTTTATCTAGCAACAGGGTAGTGCCACGCTCCAGGCAGTCATGGGCCAGCTGCACTGGAGCATGCCATGGGTACTACAGCTGCTCTGTGACCAAAGGGATCAAGCTAAATTGCCACTAAAGACTATCCCTGTCATCCATTGTTGAACACCCAGCACCCACGGGCTCTACTTAACATTAGTTTCCTTGTAAAATACGTCACAGGAATGAGAACCTGGGTAAGATTACTACACAACTCAATTCAATTACACCTTTGAGTTATAAATGTCCCTGCAATTTTTCAGCCTTCACATCTCATCTGGATTAGCATGGAGACCCCAGGGGTGAGAGACAAGTGATTAGTCCATTAACCTTAGCCATATCTTCCTGTATGTTCAATCTTTCTATGAAGCAGGTGCATAATTTACTTAGAAGCACTTACTGTCATTGACGAGGCCTAGCTATCACCTGAAATCAGTGCACGGTCAATCAGTTCATCTGAGCTATGACACTGAGAGGGAGAGGGATGGTGGGACCATCGAGAAGAACAGGCTGGGGAGGGTGTCCTGCACACAGGCAGTGTGCTTTCCCACTGCTCTATTAAGCCATTTAGGTGTTGACCACAGTCCATGTAGCTGTCTCTCCCAGCATTGCAGTGAGGAGATGCAGCCCGCATTCTCCATCCACTGCTGCAACAGGAGGTGTGGGATGGCCTGGCTCTGCCTCTGCTCTTCCCACAAGGAGCAGAAGCTTGTGTTCTTGCCAAGAGTGCCATGGAGCTCTGTCACAGGCAGCTCCTGAGAATGTCCACCAAACGCCATGAAACTGCCTGCTGTTCCCTGCCCCCTCGGCAGGACTGTGTGCCAAGGAGATCTGAGCCTGTAGCTGATAGATCTTTTGGCCTCACGTGAAGGAGCTGTCAGCTGGCAAGGACCTCATGGTGGCACTGCATGAGAGCCCATGCAGCACTCTCTCAGTGAGAAAGTCTTGGTAGAAAGCCTGGGGGAAGGGAAACGGAGGAGGAAAGAGAGTTACACAGGGAATTAGCAGGTAGAAAATTCATGATGGAAGGGATTGAAGCAATGTTATGGTCTAACAGTTTAATTACAGCTAGTGATTGGCAAATGCATATATGAAGGAGACAAACACCTTTGAGTTTAACATACTTAATCAAATTTATTCAAATAACAACCTGTCTCTGCCAGTGCTAGATGTCAGAATTGTGAGCAGGCATCTTTCTCTAGACCTTCATCTCGACTGTTTGAGCACTGACCACTGACTTGCCATTTGCTTCATTCTTATTGCCAGTGGTGGCCCTACCAGAGCTGGTGTCTCTTCACTAGATTGCATAATACAAAAGAAGGGATCGATATACATATATATTCGGTCTCCATGTGTTGCCTGATCTAGTTGAGAGGCATCCCTGCCCATGACAGGGAGGTTGGATTAAATGATCTCTAAGGTCCCTTCCAGCCTAGGCCATTCTATAAGTCTATGATTCTATGATATACATACATCCCAAGAAGGATATAGATCCTGAAATCATTCATTTTACACAGAATTAGGTCCTTAAACACCCATGAAGATAGGGACTTTCATCTTTCTTGTTAAAAGTCTCATCATGAGGGACATCTACCACCGAGTGCAATTCTTGTTTGCATGGCACAGGGCTTGTTTAGGGGCTACTCTGCTTTTTGAACAGTATTCTCAGAATAAAGGCTGCAAGAAGCCAGTACAAACACAGTAATACTCTTTCTTGCAAGTGGAAGCTGTATGCTTACACCCACCACTTCATGACCTTGCAGCCCATGCATTTGCCTCTCCCATCCCCTCGTAGGAACATGGAAATGTTCTCCTGCAATAGCCTAACTCGAGTGGGCTAAATCTTAACTCCTGTGAAACAAGTGAATTGCACTGATGGCATCAAATTTTACCAGCTCTAGATCTAGTTCAGCATCTTCTGATGGGACTGTTGCAGACCTCGGGACCCTGCTACAGCATCCTTCTTTTTAAAATTATGTTTTGAAAGGGCTGACACAGCAGTCCTGTGGAGAAGTCAAGCCAACAATCTGCACAGGGACATGGCTAGTATGGGATATTTAATTGGATATGAATGCTCCCTCTGGCATACTCTTGTCATGGAGTTTAATTTTGACCCCCACACAGTAATAATAAAGGAAATAATAAAATGCTGAACTCAACATTTAGAAACGGCTGCCTCTGCACCAAACCCTTGACAGTGCTTTTGCCCATCACAGGTCCAGGAGTTTGTTTTTCTTTGTTATGCAAATATTAATTACATGTATTGCTTATTCTTACTTTCCCTCAGCTTCCTTATAATAGTGGGAAGGAGTAGGGGAGGATGAAGAGAGATTCCATTACGGATAGTGTGGGGGTTGCAAAATGAAGAGCATTAATTGATTGAGTTAATCAGAAAGTGACCTTAACTGCTCATCAGCTAAATCACCTACTGAATGGAATAATAATGATCACGGTAAATTACGATCCATAGTATTGCCTAATTAGTAGGCAGTGGATCACAGAGGAAAGATTCAACCATCAAAATCGTAGAATACAATATATACAGCATTAGTGTGTATGTGAGTATGTATGCACACACCCATAGCACGAGTTAGGTTTTAGCTCTGATCGTCAAAGAATGCAAGTGTGATGAAGACTGTTGGAAGCAGTAGGATTTTTTAGCATATCCACTAATACAGTCAGGAAAAATCAGACAAGCTGAAGTATCCAATGAAGGATGGTTGAAAGCGTCTGTGTTTTACAGTCCACAGTAAAATAGAGTCTGTTTCTCTGCGCACCCAAGCTACTTTGTGCTTAGTACAACACTTTGTAATTACAAAAGGGATAAACAGGTCCGGGATGAACAACTGAACTTGGTAGCAATTTTCTTCACTTAGGTAGGGGTTAAATTAAATTTCAACGAGTTCTATTAATAAATGCAATGAAATAAGCAAGTAACTATCATCTCCAATTTCAGAAAAAGAAACATATACATATATCTGTATCTCACTGGATATAAGTGTTCTGGAGATAGGTGCAACATGCAGATAGCCAGGGACAAAGCTGGAACTGAGAGTCAGAGGTGTGCTATTAGTAGTTCATGCAGCCACGTCCCTCTTTTGCTCCATCACTTATTCATTTCTCTCAGGACTGACTGGCTTTTCTCAGCATTGAGCTTAGAGCAACTCTGATTTTTTAAATAATATTCATGTCTTCACTGCAAAATAATTGAAAACCTAGACAAACCTTATAGTTCTGTGTAGAATAAAATGTATTATTTGATTAATCTCTCCTTTAGAGTTTCCTTCTGTTGTCCCTCAGATTTCATTTTTTCTAATGGAATTTCAAAATGCATGACATTTCGGCTAGCTCTACTCTATAAGACAAGACTCAGATTCACCTTGTTTAATGTGTCAGGATGCAGCACTGGAAGGGGAATAATACATTTTGATTATTTTTCCTGTCTTTTGAAACCAGGAGATTGATGGCAATGCTTTGTTGCTTCTGAAAAGTGACATGATCATGAAGTACCTGGGCCTGAAACTGGGACCTGCACTGAAACTGTGTTACCACATCGATAAGCTCAAGCAAACCAAGTTCTAACAATTTCTGGAACAACAACAGAACCTGACCTAAGTCTAGACGGAAAACTAAAGGTAACATGTTGCCTTACAGAAATGCATTCATTTGCAGATTGTTTTTCCTTCCTTTTTAAGAAGACTCTGTCTTTTTTAACATTTGTGCATTGTCACCTTTTTTTAATCCAATGGAGTCTTTTGAGCTGCTTTGTGTTAATAATTTGACAAAAATTATATAATTACAATAATTATTTTGTACCATTAATATTATTATGATTATAGTAAGTCCTATTTTTGTAATCAGAAGTGGGAAATCAAAAACAAACACAGCTACAGCATACACTGAGGACTGCTGGAAGACCAACCAAGGGTCCTTCACTTGCCACAGGTCTGTCTTGAAGGAGTAACCCATGACCTGCACCAACTGGGCTCCAGTTCCATCACCGATGCTCAAGAGCTGGAAAAGCATGGTGTTTAGTCACCTCTTGTCTGATGGGAACTGCCCCATGTCTTGCACTATCTGGAAAACTTGAATTCTTCAGTTTGAAAAAAAAGAAAAAAGGGGAAAAAAGGAAGGAAAAAAGAAAGTTTTTTAAAAAAAAAAGACACAAGAGAAAAAAGGTGGTTTTGCCGCTAAAGTACTTTTTTTCCCACTAGAGGGAGCAGCCCTAATAGACTTGAGGCTGCAGCGCTGATACCACGGTGCTTTCTGTCTGACGAGCTTTGACCGTAACAACTCTCCTATCGAGCACATCCGTAAATACCGACAAGGAATCACAGGCTCCCAGCAGGATAAGCCCGTCATCGTTTACAGATAATTAATTCAAGAAAAGCCCAAATGCAGAGAGTGTTTCTGACAGGATGTTTCCCGTTACGCCGAAGAGGGGGTGGATGGCTCCCACGGTGTCTGGCGTGCTCAGCTGTCAGTTCCCTTCCCTGAGCTGTTTCTGTCTGGCATACAGTTTGTGGCACTCTAAGAAAGAGCAGAAATCCTGGTTTTGGTTTTGTCTGAGCTTTTAAAAAGCGAGGGAGCCAGGCGGGAGCATTCTCCAGGTGGAGCTTGCAACACATGGCACATCTCTGCACTTTGCAATGATGGTCAGGTCCAGGGTGGACACTGTAAGGTCGGTTCCTGATTGTGCTGTGGCTCTCAGGACAGATGCAGATGTGCCAGGCTTTCCATCTCAAGTGGATTAAAAGTAATGTCTCTTCTTTTGCCTCTTACGCAAATTCAAAAAGTGCTCATTGCTATGCCACGTAGCCAGGCAGGAGGGTACTGGCTTCAAGCTGAGGAAGTAATTTGTGGCGTGGATATGTCCTCATTTTTGTCCTTCACAAAGGATGACAAAGGGACACATCCATACAGTTTAAATCCTTAGTGCATGTCAAGGAGTGGTGGCGAGTGTTTGTAAGTCATGCAGATTAGAGCTAGGCTCAACTGAATTGAAAAACAGGGTCCAGATAATATACAAGACATCATACAGTCCAACCCTGTTTACGCAGAACACAATATTACCAAAAATACCTCATGGAATACAATTCAACCTGATGCATGTTGCTAGAACAGAATTCCTACAAAAAGATACCATTTTAAGACCTAACCCTGAAAATCCTTACCAATATGAGAACCCATATACCACAAGACTTCCCCTGAACTCTTGGGGACTACTCCCCCAAACGAAAAAAGTTGTCTGCACACATTTGCAAGATTGGATCTTTACAGGACTGACCAGCTTTCAGCAAATCCTGTCTGCATGCTGAAACACCTTTAATAGATATAGCTGAAGAAGTGTGTTAAATGAAAAATTGTATATCCAGTGATGTAATATACTGAACTCTAAACATGCTGGTGCATAGAAGGTAACACCCACACACATCACTTTGTGTCCATGATGTCGAGAATGGAATCCGTTCAGCCAGGCATCTGGCTGAGACAGAGGTGACTTCATATCAACATAAAACATGTACAGTTCATTTTTCACTCTTGCATTTTTAATACAGTGAATCTTTTCCTCACAACGATCCCCAAAATATGTAAAATTTTTGCTGTACTAGTAATGTTAGCTTCAGAGAGTCTTCAATCTTTTTTTATAGGTTTTCTTTTCCCCCATAACTTTGAGCTTCGTTAACCTCTCTTTTTTTTCCAAAGGTGATTTTAATTCCTCCGCTTAAAAACCCACCTTGCTGTAGTATATCAGTAGTCAGAGCTCATTAGACCTCATCAGATGCCTTCAATGCTGGAAAATCCCACTTTGTCATAATCAAAACTCTTCATAAAAGCATGTCACTTTCTAACATAAAATTCTATTTAACTGAAACTACAGCTTTCAGTAATGTCAAAACATCATTTTGACATTTTGGAAATGGAATGTTCTTGTTCCAAGAAGATTTTTGCATTTTCTTGTATTTTCCTGGAGAATCTGTAACCTTGCATTTTATTCTGAGAGTGGGAAAAAAAACCCCAAAACTAGAGACTTTCCTAAGAATCCTTCCCATTCAGCTCTGTGTCTCACCCTTTCTGTCCACCTGCCCCACTCCAGACTTTACAGCTGAGAGGGTTGATAATACTAATACAGTATTTATAAACTCCTTAGAGGCAATGATATTTTTACATTGTACTGAAATAGTTTTCATGTGTGTCTGATGTATACGGTCAGTGGTGCTATCTCATATTTCATAGAATTATAGAATCGCAGAATCATTAAGGTTGGAAAAGACCTCTAAGATCATGAAGTCCAATCGTCAACTCAATGCTACTGTGACCACTAAATTTTGTCCCAAAGTGCCATGTCTACATGTTTTTTGAACACCTCCAGGGATGGTGACTCCACCACTTCTGTGGGCAGCCCATTCCAGTGCTTCACCTCTCTTTCAGTTGAGAAAGTTTTCCTAATATCGAATCTAAACCTCCCCCGGTGCAACTTGAGCCCATGTCCTCTCATCCTATCGCTAGTTATTTTTGAGAAGAGACCAACATCCACATTGCCACAACCTCTTTTCAGGTAGTTGTAGAGAGCGATAAGGTCTCCCTTTCAGCCTTCCTTTCTTCAGGCTGAACAGCTCCAGTTCCCGCAGCCGCTCCTCATACGGCTTGTTCTCCAGATCGTTCACCAGCTTCATCGCCCTTCTCTGGACCCACTCCAGAACCTCAATGTCTTTCTTGTACTGCAGCACCCAAAACTGAACACGATACTCAAGTTGTTGCCTCACCACTGCTGAGTACAGGGGCACAATCACTTCCCTACTCCTGCTGGCCACACTATTCTTGATCCAGGCCAGGATTCTGTTGGCCTTCTTTGCCACCTGGTCACGCTGCTGGCTCATGTTCAGCTGGCTGTCCACCAACACCCTCAGATCCTTTCCTGCCGGGCAGCTCTCCAGCCACTCTGCCCCAAGACTGTAGCATTATGCTGGGGTTGCTGTGACCCAAGTGCAGGACCTGACACTTGGCCTTGTTCAACCTCATACAGTTGACCTTGTCCCATCGATCCAGCCTGTCCAGATCCCTCTGCAAAGCCTTTATACCCTCGAGCAGATCAACATTCAAACAGTTTGATGTTACCCTTGTTATTCAATGTGACACCTACAGGTACAACAGGACTGTCCAGGCCATGATATTTAACATTCTGATTTTTACTGGGGAGGCAGTTAGTGAATTCATTTTACATGTAAGTAATGCCTATAATGAAAATCCCTCACTGCATATTTTTTTCTTTTTTTTTTTCCACTGAAAGGCAATTAGGAAGCAAACATTACTGCAGTAATTTTGCAATTATAACTAATTTTTCTCTTTCAAGTCTTGTCCGTGAAGGTAGTTAAGCAGCTCTGCTGTGCTGAGGGTGTCAGCCCATTTCCTCAGAACAAGCACTAAAGAGCCAGAACATGCATGTCAGCCACTTCTCCATTAGCTGCTGCTTTAGACATTGCTTGTACAAATTACTTCACTTGCTGTTTTGTTTCTAGCTCTGGCTTTAGACAGCAGCCCACCCAGTTGTATTTTTGAACTGTTCCCAACAGGTGGGTGGATATGGATACCCTTTAAAGCAGTGCATATGCCTCTTTTCTACTTCTAAGTACTCATAGCTGGATCAAAAAGCACTTTGGTTGCTTTGGGCAGTTTCAATACTTTGTGAGCATTCATTTTGGGCAGAAAAAAATCAAAAAAAAGCAAGGATTTGAGAAGAGCTCTTTCTCTGCTCAGTGCCAGGCATTATGAGCACAGAGCCAGTGGTCCTGGGCAGAGCAGCTTCTTGCATGTAGCATGTGCAGCCAGCTCAGCCTCCACTGTGACACAGGCCAGCCACCCACCTGCTGTCACAGCCTCTTCTCTTGCACTGACAAATGCCTCCTTCTCCAGCCAGACCTGAGTTTCAAGAAATGCCTTTGGAAATGTCTCCACCCCTCTGAGTCCACTGTCTTGCTTGGCAGGCTGAGGAGCACGGCAGCCTTCGCAGCATTAGCAGCTTCGCTCAACGTGATGAATGTGGACAGGCACCCTGGGGACTGGCCTGTGAAGCATCTCTCTGGGCTGTTTCTGCCCTTAAACTGATCGCTGAGTTTCCATAAGTTGTCAGCAGTCTTCACGAGTTGCACATCTTTCCTTATTAAAGAAAGGATGGCTGCAAGAGATTAAGTAGAGCACTGTTAGCAAAACCAGCAATAATCAGCAAAACAACAGGAAAATGGCTAATGAATTTTGGAGTGATAAGATGGCTCTTTTGAGTTAGCTGCAGGAGCACAAAACATCCTCTAGTTCAACCAGTGCTGCTTGGGCAAGGCAAGATGAAAAGACAGCGTGGGAGCAGGTGTACACGTTTAGACAAGAAGCGGCTCCAAAGCCTGGCTCCAACACCAACAGCTATGGATGGCTTTTCCTCTCACCCCAAGCCCCTTCCAGCCCCATGAGGAGCACCACCCTCCCCCTCCCAGCTGTGCCACTTAGGATATGAGCAAGCTCAAGGAGGAATTTGTCAGCTCTCACCTCCCCAAAAAAATACCCTGAAAGCTTCAGTTAATTAGTTTATA